TTCCCAGGCTATGCTGCTCTCAGCCCACACACCTCAGCCAGACACACAGAAATTTAAAGGTATTCTTTGGCACTGCTGTGAGGTGAAACATGGGGAGGCTCTCCACACATATGTAGATAGGGAGCTGTTTGAACAAACAAACATCTGGTATCTGTATTCCTGTACACCTACTCTAAGCTGTGGGATTGGAGGTAGTTGTAGGAAGGGAAACAAGAACCAAGGAAGTAGGGTGGGTTTGAAAATGAAAAAATTAGGAAGTGAGGATGAAGAGTTTGCTATGATGAGCAGCAGGGCCCCATTGCAGACTCCTGTGGAAATCATAAAAATTTGCTTTAGTCGTGAGAGGCAGAGGCGGGGAGAAGCTGAATTGGAAAGGGTTATTTCACATTGTATGGGAGGATCAGATGGAAGCACCTGGCAGTTTTGAAGAGTGGGAAGTTTGTTTTCATACAACATGCAGTGAGGTTCCCAAACTTGCTGCCAGCAGGTGGAATATAGGGCCAGGCAGACAATTGTTTTCAGAAGGCAGTTCATACTACATGGATCTCTCCAGGACCATTCACTGCAACAGGAACAGCTGTGGTCCTTGGCTCAGAAAGCCCCTAACCTGTGGATTTCTGTGGGTGTGTGCAAGGGATAGTTTATTCCTTGTGCTCTTACCCTGAGCATTTCCTGTTGGGTGTTGCTGGAAATGTGGTATTAGCTTAGACAGACCTTTGAGCTGACCAGGACTACTGTGTTTTTCCATTTTAATTTAGGACTTTCATATTTGGTGCTTGACTCTGTACAGATGCCTCTGACAAGTGGAAAAATAACAGGAAAACCTCTCATGTGAATCAGACCTTCTGCTCTGTTTCTTGTTCTTGTTGTGATGTTTCCTTAGCAGAGGTAACCTGACCATCTGAAATTCATGAGAGGAATGTTCTTCAGACGATGAAATGTATTTTGTTTGGGAAAATTCCTGGGGATTTTCCTATCCTTCACTCTCCTCTTGGGCTGTGATGCTATTTATTGGCATGAAGTGCCTTGACCTATTTTATTTCTCGAGGTTTTTCCCAAGATTTGGCTGACAGAGGGTGGAAAAATAATTAGATGCATAGATAATTCAAATCCTGTGTGCTGTATGAGGCACACCTCTTCTGATGTCTGATAAGTGAACACAGTTCCTTGCAAGGAGCTTTCTTTAGATGGCACAAACATGTAATGACATGACGGTGACTGATTAACAGGTGTTATACAATACAGGGACAATTCCAGTACTTTCATTAATTTATTCCATTAGCGTGCCTGAAACCTGCATGGAGTGACTATCTTGATTTGATAGTTAAATCTTTTTGCCTTTCAATCCCTGACTCTTCTTTTCAAGTTCCTAATAGCTGGGAAAATTGAGAAGGAGGTGTTTTTTACTGAGTGCCTGGACTTCGTTTTTCTACACATAGCTGTTAAGAGATGAGCAAGGCAGCAGAAAGGACCTCGTGGGACTGTGTGTACACCAAATGTTTTCCTTCAGTGCTTAGCAGTTGAGCTGTTTCTCAAATGATGGTGGTCCTGTGCTAGTGCAGTTAGTGGGCAGTTAGAACTAGAACTAGTTAGAAAAGGGAGCTGGCTGAAAAGGGACGAGTTCCACCTGCAGATGATTGTGTGTCCATTACAAAGACCCCCATCTGGAATGGTGTCCTACAGCAGGCAGACATACCCACTGTAACAGCCTACTCTCACATGGTACATTGTTACCTGGAGTTAGGTAGGACTGAATTGTGATACCTGTGAAGCACAACTTGCCTTTAATTCTCCTGAGGTCTTGTCCCTCTGCAGCATCCTGGAGGGTGCCTCTGGAGGGTACCTTCCTTTGCTGCTCCCAGGTACTGGCTACAGAGCCTCAATGTCTAAAGACATTACACGTGCTACCAACACGTTAAAACAGAAGCAGAAGGTCCCAAAGGATGCTGATAGCTGAAGAAATTCTGTTTTCCCAGTACTAAACCCAAGCAAGTTAATTTTATCATTCCATACAAAAGTGAATGGAAGTATGTCTGTGTGCCACATGCAAAGTCTGGACATGCACTTTCCTAACCCACTGTGCAAGCACAATGGTAATGTGGTCCTGTGACCAAAGGCTGTATTATTTGACAGGTTTCATAGCTAAATCTTTCATTTCTAACTCACTGATGTCCTAGCAGTTTGCACCCAACTACTTAGCTCCTGAATTTCCCACTCAGGCTTTATGTGTTGGTGTGGTTCATGGGGCTGGAATGCCATCGGTGGACACATGAACAGTTAATGGTGCACTCTTTAATGCATCACTCACTTTAAGCTGGTGAAGCAGGGCTAAATTTTACCATACCTGCCTTTTCTAGTGATCAGCCCACCCCTTTCTCACTATTCCAAATTGATAGCCCTGCACAAGTCATGCTGTGTTTTCCTTCAGATTTGTACCTCAAGTTTTACCTCACCCTTCATATATTTGAAGCCACAGTCCTTAAAAGTGGTGCTGGTGGTGAGGATACTGAGAAAACATCACCCTAGGAGATGTGTGAAGTGTTTGTTCTTCAAGTCGCTTGAAATGGGAGCTAAATGATAAGCCTTGTTTTAGAAAGCAGAAGTATTCTATCTGATCTTGTCCTTCCAGTGGGGAAAAAAAAAAGGTGAGGATTTGATAATTTATATGGCAATAGAGTCATAAACTTGGAGTGATTTAGACTGCTAATGGAAAGTACTTTAACTTTGATTTTTTTAACTGTGTGTCAGATGAAAGGATAACCTTAGCCTGTCTGATTTCCCATTGCTGCTAGGTTGCACAGCATTTGCCTAAAATGAAAAGGCAGTGTACAGACACCAGTGTGCAAACATAGCAGGCTCATGTGGCCAGGTCCATTGCCTGCTTTGCCTCCATTTCTGTCTCAGGTCTCACTGGTGTTTGTTGTTAATTATTCTGCCTGTGGGCTTGTTAAGAAACCGTGAAAAGCAACTATTTATCCAGGCACAAGTCATTTGTGCTGGGATGTTTAACTAGTCACTGGTCTTCTCTTGTTTTGCCTCTCACTCATGATGTAAAGAAGATTCCTACTCAAAGTATGGTGAGGCATGTGAAAATTGTAGCTTTAGCAGGGGTTCTGGGTCTTTGTTCTAAGTTGTCTCTGCCAATTCCTGAATTATACAGTGTGGCTGTACAACACTGTCACACCATCCTTCTCTGCCCCGACAGTGTCTCTGAAGGAGTATTTGCTTTTACCCGGCTTTGAGTTGGTTACTTCTCCACAAGTTTTTAACCATTCTTTAAAGGCGTTATAAAAGTACACCACTCTTACTTCACTAAGGAAAAAGTTTGATGAAGCTCTTAAGGTAAGGTGGTAACACCCTGAAAGATCTTGTTCCACCCTTCCTCTCTCTTTCCCCGTGGGTTGGCACAAGTATTGGGGTGGATGTGTGCATGACAGGGTAGCAGGTCTGGGTGGAAATGGATGGCTTGTGTTAGTGCAAGGCACAGCCTGGTGGGAGCAAGTAGCTGGGAACATGGGGAGGGCAGGGTATTTTTTTTGGTGGTGGTGCCAACTGATCTGTGATTAAAGCATTGATGAAACTCAGAATAAACCTTTGGCCAGATCTGCATGACATCAGAACTGAAGCTTTTAAGGATTGACGCCTACTTTCTTTGCAAGAACTGTCCCTTCAGGCTAGATAGATTAATTATAGGAAAAGTGAATTTCAGGAAAACTTGAAACTTAAACTTCAGGTTCTTTTGCTGAGATACCATCTCTGCTTTTTTAAAAAGAATACATGGGGCAACTGAAGCAGCCTGGTTTGCTGTTGTAGTGTGAAGGGTGGAGCTGTTGCCTGGAGGTCTGAATGAGCCTTGTGGTATCAGTGTGAAGCCCTGCCACTGTCACCTGCAGCCTCCCAATCATATTGTGCAATGCTCTGTGTTTGAGCACACCACGGCTGAGCTGTTTAGGTTTAATTACTTTACTAAAATGAGGCATTTGCACGTATTGAGTTTTCTGAGATAGACTGAGAACACTGAAAGCCAAACCTCCCCACTTTCATTACAGATTTGTCTGTGCTGTACCACAGGTGCCGACAGACAGTCTGGACCTGTTTAACCATGCAGCAAAGCGTGAAGCCTCTCTGGGTTGGGGAAGGAAGCTTGTCCCATGTGCCTAATCTAGAGGGCATTTCAGAGTTTCAATTACCTCTTAAAATTATGTCCTCAAAACATGCAAACATGGCAATGGTATGTTCAGTCCTTGAGCCGTGCTTACCACGGCTTTCCTGGGAACTTGGTGTATATATGCCCAGTTTGGTGTGCAAGGTATCTGTGACATCCTTTCGATAGAAAACTCGGCCAGCTCACAGGTCTTGTTTTATATTTCTTGTATCTTCTGTGCTGGCCTTGCAACATGGTTATAAAACATTCCAGCCAGGCGCATCTACTCATTATCCTGGACGGGGAGGGTAGGCTCGGGTTAAGGTTACTCTATGGAGGTTACAGGAAGTTTTAGTCCAGCCCCTGCTCTGTCACTGTATTATCTGTGACCTTGAAGTCATTTTATGTGATTGCCGTTTCATAAAGTGTTAACATCTAGCAAAATGAAGTCAGATGAGTAGTGGAAACTGCTTGTGCTTCTGTTATACAGATAATTACTAAGATCTTGCCTTAATCCCTTGCTGGATGATTAATGCTGCAGAATTATTCGTAGTAGGACTTTGGGTCTAAGAGCACTGGGGTATGATTTTGGATAGTTCACCCCTTTTTTTTTTCCCCCTAATAAAACTTCTGTTGAGAACCTGAAAAATTCTGTAGATACCACTGTGCTGCAGTGTTGGTTGATGCACAAAAGAAGGCCTGCATCATGGCTAGGAAAATGAACTTAAAATTTAATGAAAATCGCTATTGAAGTCTGTTCAGTGTGGAACTAAGTTACCAATTTGTTATTACCCCAAGGTTTTTGATTTGTGTAGATTTTAATAAAATAGTTTCTTCTAGCTGATAGCAGTGAGGGAATTCTCCCTCCAAAGTTACTTGAAAAGCTAAAGAAAATTCTGCAGCTAGAGGAGAAATGATGTCATTCTTCATGACACAGAGATTGTAAGACAATCATGTTTTATTGGACCTGATCTCTAGCCTTCACTGAATTCAACAGGATTTGGCTGAAGCCTGTAGTGGTAACTGAGGAAGGGATGACTGAGAAAGAGAAACTCCTTATTAGTCAGTGGCACTGGTTGTAAAGAAAGCTAGGACAAGAGACAGATGTTGTCACACAAGTAACATCAGTAGTTTTAATTAATTTTCTGAATGTTAGAACATGAGGAAAAAAGAACGCCTTTGGTTCCAAGAAAACAAACCCTTAGAAGTTGTGTAGATTCCTAGGTCATTTGTCTATTTAATTACTATTGCTTTTATTTTAAGGTATTCTTATACAAAGCAGAGTGATTCAGCATTTCAGAACTCTAATAATTCGGTTTTTTTCCTGACCCAGCTTGAAGAAGCTGACTGAAAGAACACCTTTCCCTCCAAATATAGACAGTATGTCATCTAATAATGATAATTTCTGAATAGCAGCTGATCGGAGCAGTGGCAGAAATAGGAATTGGTGGTACTTTTTTCTTTTTCTTTTTTTTTTCCTCCTGAGCCTCTACACTGCCTGCAAAGTTGGAAAACTTAAATAATCGCACATACTGAGGGGTGGTTTGTATCCCTCCCTCCCTCCCGGTAAAATACTTTCAGAATGTTTCTGACAAGTAGGAAATTGGTGCAGGATCTACCTCATAAGTTTGGTTGACTGCTGTAGAAGACATCTGTCTTCTATTCATTTGGCTATTATTTCATTATAATCTCCTTGTGGGTACTGTGGTTGGAAGAAATCGCCAGTTGCTAAATCCCTTTCAGGTTTGTTTAAAGTGGTTGTCTCTCTTGGTTTTGTGTCTTGTCCCATCTCAGAGGTGTGATTTCCTCTTGATTCCACTACTCCTTGCTGAACACTTCACACAGCACAAAGAGGTATTGAGGTGCCAAGGTATGAGTGCAGACAAGTAGTGCTGTAGACTTGTTCAGCATGGACTCAGTGGATATCAGACAGTGAAGAGGTTGGATGTTAAATGTTTTTGTTGAGTTTCATTTCATAAAGGAAAGAACCCATAGCTTAACCCTTCCCTGTAAATAGATAGCCATTAGTTCTTTGGACATTGTAATTAGTAGATAGAACTCCTAAATATATGAAAGTGAGATTTGTGGGGAGAAAAGAGGGGGAAGTGGTGAAAACAAATTATGTAAGATTAGAAATCCTTGATTTAGAAAATCTTCCACAGTCGCCCTACTGAATGTCTGTGCATTGCCCTCCTTGCTTCTCTAAGTCCTGCCAGTGTTCCTGTGTCACTGCTAGTGTGGGCTCTCAGCTCTGTAAGGGACAGCAGCTCTGACCTGACAGGCAGCTCCCAAGCATTATTCCTTTCCTTTTCATTTCCTAAGCTGAAACAAATCGTGTTTGCTACCTCATCTGAGATCAGGCAGTTTTCCGAGCTGCAGCAGCTGTTTATATATTCCTCTTAGGTTATTTGAGCTGATGCACAGAGGATGTTGGACCTGCCCCTGCTGGGCTTACTTAAGTTTCTGAGAGTTGTTTTTGCTGTATCCATCCTTGAATTAGATCAGCTGAAGCAATGTTATTGTGCAATTTTTGCTCAGGACCAGTAGAGCAGACAGGAAAGGTGTGTATGTGTGTGTGTGGGAGGTTGTTTTCAGTCCTGTAAATAATAATAATAACAATCTCCAGCTCTTCACTGGTCACTTCTTTCCTCTCCCATTACTCCCAAAGAGTGTTCCTGCGGGTTTTACTGGTGATATAGGGTTTCTTTTGGAAGTTAGATGCCAATTTGAGCTTCACTTAGAAGCTTTACAAGCAGGTTGTTGAAGTGCTGAGAGAGAGCGAAGCTCCCTTTGAGCGTCTTGCCTGCCTTCGGGGTATCCCTATGAAGAGCTGTGGGTTCTTAAATGCATTGAGAAGGGGCAAGGGGATCAGTTCCTGGAAGAGTTTTCTTTCCCTGGGGTACCCTAGAGGAATTTTGTTTGTACTTGTATCCATTTAGTGGTGAGAACAAATGCACCTTGCTCTGCATTTCTTGGAACTGGGTCTTGCTCACCACTTACATCTCTAGTAGTGGTGCTGTGTGTTTTTGTGTATTCCTGGCTCCTGTGGGCCTGCAGTGGTTGTGGATTTTTTTTCCCTTCTGTGGTTTGAACCAGAGTTGCTGAGGACTGTGTGTGTAGGAATAGCAGATTAGAAAATGAGAGGTTGGTAGGCTCAAAGAGCTTCCTGAAAGTGTGGGAGTGCAGGCCAGAGAAAGGAAGAGAAATCTTTTTGAAGCTATATCAGAGCTTTACATGGACAAGAATAGCAGGCAGAGCGTATTCACAGAGTGGTCTGAGGATAAGTGTTGCTGCATAGCAGAGTGTTGCTGCTGTAAAAATCACTGCTGTCCACTAGTGAAACAAATTCTTCCAGTATGAGAGCAGTTTTACTGGTATGGTTGGGTCTCAGCATGCATTCTGCTCACACAGCTGTGCTAACGTTAGTCAGACCTGGTGAACGCTGGTAAGTCTGCACGTGTCTGTAGTGTACGTGCAAACCTTGTAAAAATTATGGAGGAGGTGTGAGGAACAGCTCAGATCATGCCTTGTGACATGCTCTGCCCCTGGGAGGAGATGGCTGGGGGTTCTGTTGCAGGTCTGGAACATGTGTAGTTCATTACTGGTGCAGTTGTGCTTGTGTCCTTCCTCCAGCTTGTAGAAAGTCCTTCCTGGAAACAATTCAACTCTTTACCTGAAAGATTGTAGCAAATGGTAACAAGACCTCGGGTCCTTGGTGAAGCAAGGAAACATTTTATTTTGTGTTTTAGCTGCTGTTTCGAAAGGCTTTACAAAGCAAATCAATGTAATTTCCTGTTTTTCTAATGGAGAAACTGAGGCAGAGAGGAGCAGGGGTGGGAAGGGAGCAGCTTATGTTGCACCTACAATCCTAAAATGGGAATAGCAACCGGTTTTGCTTTAGCCTGGTGTTTTGGGCTCCTGTTCAACGAGACATTTAAGCATATGCTTAATGATACGCATGGCAATAGCTAGCTCCCTTATCATTTCCTCTTTTCAGAGTGTCATAAACAGTACTTCTCTCTGAACCCAGACTGCAGGGCTGTGCCCACTCATGCCAACCCATTGGAATCACCCAGGCTGTCAGCCAGGACACAGCTGGTGTCAACATCTGGCTTGTAGAACCTGTCTTATCATTAGGGATGCCAAAGGTGGAGCAAAGAGTCATCTGAACAGTGAGGAAGTGGTAGTAGTTGGGTTGCAGGAGATGGAAACAAGCTTGTTTGACAAGTGGCTCTTGGATGCAGTTGACTTGAAAAGAAACTCCTGAACCTCCAGATGAGCTCAGAACAGTCACACAGAGACAGCACAGGGTCACAAAGCAAACACTTTCATACAGCAGTGTAATGACCCCTGTTAGTCATGCATTGAGCTTCTAAGCAGTGTAGTACCTGTTTAAAAACAACAACCTAAACCAGCACCAAACCCCAAACCAAACCTGCAGTGACTGTTCCAATACAGCTGCTTGTCTGTCTTCAAACAGACTTTTGGTCTTTGCAATTATCCTGGCATAAAATGTTTCATGGTTGTGCTAACAGGCAGACTTGTGTCAGCTCTGGAAGCTGCTTTAATGAACCCCAAAGTCTGACAGCCAACCTCACTTTTTTAGAGCAGCAATTTGTTGATTGCAAGAAAATTACCTTTTTCAGGATCTTAACTCAGGAGCTGTTTGCAAGGTTGTGGGATTACAGTGCCTAGAAAGCATTACAACTCCATTTGCTGCTGTGTTTTCTTCATATATCACATGAGAGAGACACCATTCATTTTTCTCCTCTGAAGACCAACCTCAGTTCACTATATCCCTCTGGGCATGTTTTGATCATTCTGGGGCCTTTGCCTCTGATTTTGGAAGGATGTGATTCAGAACTTTCATCTGGGTTGGATTTTCTCAGTGAGATTGTTTATGAGAGAACAAATTTCAGGATCATATCCCAGGATTTTATATACTTTTGTTTCTTTCCATCTATAGATCCAGAATTTTTGTGAGTGTTGCAATCCTAGCATCAGGACTTAATCCACTCTGATTAGAACCAATGGGAGTTTCCATTACTAATTGCCACTGACGTAAATTCCAGCTCATAAATTAGGGATCAAAATGTATTATGTTATTGTTATATACTACATTAAGTACAATATAGATTTTATATATATCATAATTTATTGTGCAATATACGTTGTCACTTGCTACATTTACTTTTAAGTAATGTTACTTTCTAAAATTAGAGACTACTGTCTGAAAAGTTAGTCTGAAGTATTTTTTTTAATCCAATCCTGGAGACAGCTGGATTTTTTTTATGGGTGACTCCTTTAGCTCTCCGTGTGCTCCTTGCCTGTGCCTCAGTAATCCCTGCATTTAAGAAAAAAAAAAAATCAAAAAAATACTCTTCTGTTGTCTTGTACAGCATCCAGCAATCCTCAGACATCTCATTCCACAAATCATAGGTACAAGCCAGTAGCAACAATAGACTGATATTGTCTTAGATGTTTGGAACATGTAGATAACTCTTTTCACAGAGAAGCAAATTCTGTAAAAGATTGGAGGGGGTGAATTGATATCTAAAGATGGATAAAAGGGGCAGCTGTACAGAATGAGAAGAAAAATTGGTCACTGCCTTAAAAGTGCTACCAAATTAGTAGGCATTGGGTTAACATCTAATCCCTTAGCCAGAAGGGTTAAGATTTACTTAAATAACATCTGCATAATGATTTTTTAAAAGGCTAAATGATTTAATAAAAGGTTGAATTAAATTTATTAAATGGTTAGTAGAAAGCTAGAGCCACAGCACAAGGAATATTTTCTCATTTTTCTATTTTGTTTTGGGAGATGCACAGGGCAGACAGAACTGGTGGTTCAGAAAGGGATTGCTCATCATCTCTGCAACCTCTCAGAAGGTAGAGTAATAGAGCCCAGCTAAAGAAAGGAAGATACCTCTCCCCCTTAGAAACCTACAATTTGTGATGCAAATCAAAGGGAGGCACATGTACCAGTTTTGAAACTTACTCTTAGCTCACCCAGGTAATTGCCATACATGAAATTTGCATTAAAAATGTTGTTAAACTTTCATAACCAGATTACTAAAATTATACAAAACTTCTGTGATCTAAGGTTCTGTGATTTAGGCCTGGGTCCTGTAAATGTCTGCTGAGATCTTCTGGACCTGCAGTTAATTTTGGCCAAATATAGGCTGAGCATCTTAATGACTTGAGAGTGAAATAATTGAAAACTTCAGCATTTACAGTGATGATTATGGCTACAAGACTAGAACAGCTCTGGATCTGAACATTCCCAAATTTGGAAGTCTGAAATTCACATCTGGTTAGAATTTTTAGATGGAAAGATTTTATCCTTAAAAAAGAATAATAGATCACTGATGCTGAAACCTAAACAATTACAAAATAATTGTAATTAGGAAATACAAAACATGGTATGGAAGTTTTTTTGGTTTCTTTTAGGAATCGTTTGCAGTGCTTCTCACCTTGATGTTCTCAAGTTGCACTGTTAATTCATATTGCCCAAGTTAAAAAAGAGGGTGGTAGCTTAAAGCAAGGCAGAGCTCATGGTTAAACAAACTTTGGGACTTCTGGCCTGCCTGTCAGTGGGAAAGGCAAGGGTTAAGGGTTGGTTCTGTCAGCCCTTGGTGCACAGATACGGTGTTCACACACCAGGAGCAGTTGTACAAATGTGCTCGGCCCTGCTGGGTTTGGGGATGACTCGTGTCTGAACGCCTGCAGGCTTGTGGCTCAATTTTATATGATTTGGGTTTTTTTTTTTTTAGAATCCTTTTTAAAAATACGCAGGAATTAAGCAATTTCCTTTACGTGGTGCCTCAGCCAAAGCCCACTGAAGTCACTGGGAAGACTCCCACTGTTTTTAGCTGGCATTCAGATCTAGCTCATGTTCCTTACGGCCTAGGCTACTGCAAGTGTCTGTGGGAGTGTGTAACCATGTCAGTTCTTCTAGAAGGGCTGTCCTGCTGTACTTCAGTTACCATGGAATAGATGGCCCACATTACTAGCAACATAATTATTCTGGATCAAAAATACTTCAATCCCAGAATTGTCTCCATGTGGGGAGCTACTCTGGAATAAAAATCAGGCAATGGCTTCATCAGGCAATGGCACAGCAATAACTGTGCTCCTTGCTTGCTTTCTGTAGGCAAGGTGTTTTAAACAGAGGTGAAAGGCAGGAAAGTGAATTCCTTTTTATGTCAGCATGGCCTGTCTTCTGTGAATCTTTCCTGAATTGTAGTTATTCGGACTTATAAAATGGAATTAAAACATCCATCCTCCCCGGACCCAGGTGTGCAGAAGTCCTTACTGTGGGCTCTGGCCACACTCCTGAGCCCACATTCAGGTCTGTGTAGGTGCAGTTCTGTACCTGTGACTTCAGTGGGACATTCTGTATGTGCAGATCAGGATTGTGGCCCCACAAGAGTAAAGGAGCACAAGTTTTGCTCTTTGTTTAGGGATCAAACCTATCCACTCTCACTTTTTAATGAGAGCCCTATATATGGGGATGCCAGAGTAGTCTGGAGGAAAAGCCACGTGTCATTGTCTTTTCCCTCTACTACAGATGAATCAAAACACTCAGTAAATTAACTCTTTTTATAATGCGTGTATAGATCCTGTGAGTGGACTTGGAGCAAACTTTAAGGCTGAGATTTTACATTTTCTATTTTTTTAATGGAACTAACAAGATCTGCAGGTCTAAGCATTTTAAGCTCATTTTCCAAACTGCCATATTACTCTTGTCTTTTTATCTTCTCCTTTAACATCCTAACTTTTCTATTGATGTGAGTACTGTGAATTCACTACAATATTAATTCCAGACATTTCACAAGACAGTTTTTAGATGTTCACCCACATGATGATGTGTTAACTTTAAAGCATGTACTTCAGAAATAAAGGAGTTAAGAAAAAAAAGACTTCTTGAGTTCCTTTCTTTGCAATACATAAATTCATGTACAAATACGGAAATAGCAGGATGAGTTAGTGTGCTTCTCTGCCATTTTTAATAACCACATGTGTTGTAACCACTTCTCTGTAGCATGTTTGTTACGTAGAAATAGAACATGGCATTTCCCATGAAAAATGTAAAAAAAAAAAAAAAAAAAAAAAAGATCTTTTTAAAGAGACTTTTCCTTCATAATGGAGAAAAGAAATTTTTATATCTGATTTCAGGAGAAACACTTTTTTTCCCCTGTAAATGTAAGCATGTATTTTGTTACCCACAAAACAGAAAACCTGCCACTTTTCTGTATTACTTCCTATCTTCAGATCTCTGTTAGTCTCTCCTAAAAGCTCATGTCAATTAAAGCAGATATAGAAGCTTCATTATTGGACTTGGAGAAATCTGGTTGAAAACCTGGTTAGACATGATGTTCTGCCTGCAATTAATCCAAACTGAAGAGGTGCTGCCTCAACTGTGTATCATTATATTATTTGTCCCTTCCACCTCCACCCCACCTGCCTACAAAAGGCTTATTTGCTCATCTTTGCCTATGTAGTTGCTTCCTAATCCAGTTCAATCAAAATTAACAATTTGGGTGGGGTTTTTTTCTCCTTAATATATTCTGGATAGCAGATTTATTTCAAGTTAGAACACTGTCATTTTCTTTAAATGATGAAACTAGGAAGTTGAGATTCCCACCTCAGTGAGATTTAGGTCTCAGTGAACCTGGGGTATATTGTGGTTTTCTGAGTCAGATTTTCCCTGTATCTGAAGCCTACTTTCTTAGTGGTATCTACATATTGAGGTAAAAATATTTATTAGAAAGCAAAGAAGTTAGGACTGCGAACAAATTCTGGTTAAAAATAGCAGAGAATATATTTTTCCATTACAGGGAAAAAATGGAAAGCAGATGGTAGGAATTTTTGACAGTGGGACTTACTCTATTTGTTGGTAGAAAAGGGCTTGTTTTGGAGGGTCCCCTTGTTCTGTAGGTAGGTGGGGACAAAGAGACTCATCCCCTTCATAGCCTAAATTGTGCTGTGAACTTACACACTCCTGGCATGTGGCTTAGGCTGGGTGCTGAAGGGCCATTCCCATCTGCCTGGCTTCCAGGTTCAGGTAATTGAAATTAGCCCCCAGCAGCTTTAATCATCAGGATTAAATGCCATGGTGCATTTTGTGGTCCCAGCTCAGCTGGGCAGAGTTGCTGTGTGGCTCCCTTCAGCCGATGGCTCCTGTGCTGCTCCAGCACGTTCTGTGTGTTAATGTTCATTACCCTCTATCAGGCACTTGAAACATCTGCTCAGCTCGGTGTTCAACCCCTCACTGCCTGGCATGGAAGTGATTCTGCTTCCTGAAAGGCCAGGGGAAGGGAGGGAGGAAAAGAGCAAATGGGCTGGTGCAGAACATCCCTTCTTCCAGGCCCTCTCTTTTGTACTAAATTTAGCAGTTGTGGCCATGAGCAGGCTTGTGCTCGGCAGCAGCACAGTGTAGTCCCTAAACCATCTCTGTTTCCTGCTGATTTTGTATTTTGCTAGGAAGGATGTGGCACAGGACGTGAGGCAGGATTAAGCAAGGAGCACGGGCATTAGTGGAATGACCCTAGGGAGAGACAGGCTGGTTCTCTCTCAGCTCTGTCCAAAGGGAGGTAGCTGTGACCTGTCATGTAACAACAGGCTTTTCCTTCAGTGCTGGAATCATTCTCTTGTGCCATGGTTTAGTTGCCTTCCAAATTGCCTGATGCTGAACATTTATTAAGGACTCCATGATCAAATGTTTGCGGTTTGACAGAAGCAGCTGACACTGGTTAAAAAGGAAATATGCTGTAGTATTACCTCCAGAGAGCCATGGAGGAGAAACTTTGGACAGGATTTGTACTTGATAAAATTCTGTTTTGACATAGTTGAGAAAGGCAGGAAATTTCTCCTGTGACTTCTCATTGTAATGTCATCATGAGGAGCAGCATTTTTCACTTCTTGAGAATCTGTCTGTCCCTGCTGCTAATTCCCCACCTGAAATCTTAAGTTAGCATGGGTGACATGAGACATACTTCAGCAGCCAGGAAGAGAAGTGTGAACAGCCATTTCTGTGGTAAGGATATGAAGAAGAGTCCCAAGTTTTCTGAAAGCCTGTTTTTTGCATGAAATTTGAAGAAAATGAGGTCGAGGTTCAGGTAGACTTTGGGGATTTACAGTGGTGAAGGAAATCTTGCCTCAGTGCAATTAAAATTTAACTGAAGAAATAACTTCTGGTTTGTTTGGTTGGATTTTTTTTTGGTAAGATTTTCCCTCTTGGCTTCAAAGGTCTTTGAATAAAGAATTATATTGCTGTAGTCTAGCTGAACAAAAGCAATGAAACAGCATGTGACATCTACAATTTGTACAATCATCTTTAATGTGCTCATATATCACATGAAATAATCAGGTATGGGTTTTTTTTTTTATATAGACCTGAAGTTTTCTGAAGACTGAGTTGGCATTTTGGCCAAAGATTTGGCATCAGAGAATCATAACCTCCAGTGCAGAGAAGATCACGTGGCCTTTCCCAGTCAGGTCCTGCTTCTCAGCCATCAAAGCTTATTTAGACTTTTGCTATCTATACTGGGATGGCTCAGTGATAGTTAGCATGGGTAACTACTGCCTTATGTTTAGAAATTAATCCTGTCTTTCTAGATGCTGAGGATTTACTCCTGGCCTAGATTTAGTGTCTATGTGTGCAAGTGAGCAAAGCTTTTTTTGTTTGTTCTTCCCTTGATTTCTGAAACAAATGTCAGAAATTTATAGGCAGAAAAAAATACAAAGAAAAAGATAGTCATGTGGATAATAATGTTCTTTAATGATACAATTTGCCCTGTAAATCTGTGTCAGGGAACAAAGCACTTGCACTTAGGATTACCCTCACTGCTGAACAAATTGGCTGAAAGAAGTTGAAAAATTCGTGGATATGGGAAACACAGATAAGTCGAATGTGTACAGAATATATGAAATCACTGATTGTATCACTTGGGCTAGATTTTTTAGAGTAGGGAAACGTGGTGTGGGGGGTTTTTTTTGTTGTTGTTTTTGGATAGTGGTTAGATTGCATGCCTTAAATAGCATTATTTAGTAGGAAAAAACCGAAGACCTTGAGAGACTGACCACTAAAGATTTGTCCTTGCTTCTCTGTCAATATACCTGGTAACTCCAGTTTCCCCATTTTTTAGTTTTCCCCACTACTACCTTTGCTGTTTGCATATCCATCTTTACCTTCGCTAGAGTGCTGCTTTCTTCTTGAGCTGAAGTGGTTCAAACTTCTTGTTGCCAAAGCTCCAGTTAGGAAAATAGTAGATGGTAAGCCATCCCAGTTCCATTAACTCAGCAGCTGTGTGTAGCTAATCAAATGCCTCTGCTTAACCTGAGGGTCACTCTTGCCTAGATTTGCCCCCCAGTGGCTTCAGGTGGCTCCTGGACTTTGCTCTGGGGTGGGTAAAGAGCACTCATGCATTCCCTTTTGCTTAAAATGCTTTGGGATTGTAACTCCTGGTGACAGGGCAGTAAGGAACAGGAGTTAAATCCCTGGAGTTGTTCATTAAACCCAGGGCTTTGGCTAGATGAGAATTTGTGGTCCAGTGTAAATTCAAAGGAAGCGATTACAACTGACTCCCATTTACTAACACAGGTGTAATATTTACTAACCAACGCTGACTTCAGGATGACCTTTTTGGGTGGTTGTCCTGGGCTGATACACCACTTCTGAGATCAATGCCATGCTTTATGTTTAGTGCAGTGTCTGTTCTCATGAGTATTGAGATAAATTAGTTCAAATTAATACAGGACAAAGGAGGTTCTAGATGACACCTTGCATAGCAATGAGTTTTATAACAAGATTAGTGTTGAGTTGCATCTCTGTAAAGAATGGAGGTGGCTTTATCTAAGTAATATTTCAGATGCAGCTGGTGTTGACTGACCAAAATAAATCTTCCAATTTTGGTTTAATCAAAAGGACTAATGTTTCTGGAGTATGAGGGTGGGATAAAATAGTTTTCTTTTAGAAAAAAACCCCTACCTTCGTTGTATTAATAGCACCTGTATTCTGAATAGTGAAAACTCCATCTCTCCCTCTCATCTCTAGGACTGTTCTCTAGGGCTTGCTGAGGTATTTGAATATACAGGTTTTTCTGAAGTCTGTATAGTTAGTGCCCTTAGAATTTGTATTTCCATGAGGGGGTGGAAGAAGCCCCACCACTCTCAACAAAAACAAGATGTTTATGCTTTTCTGACATTCACAGCTCTTGAAGGTAAGAGTCTGCTGCTTCTACAGACAAGGGGCCTTGTGGTGTTTCACTTGCTGTCATGGGTATCGTTTCCTTTCCATCCTCAACAGTGAAATCTGATTCTTTTTCATGCTCTCTGCTATATCTGTGAGATAGCACTGTTTCCCATTTTTCTTTTCTCTCATGCACTAGAGAATTTGTGCCCCTAAATTTCCACCTGTCTCTTAGTAACGGGATTCCTCATTCTGTCTCCAAACTAGGAGCTCTGTGTACATCTGATAATAATTTCTGATGTGCCAAGAGTGGTATATGCATCTCCCAACAGGATTGATGTTTTTGGAGGTTTTTTGTTAGTTTTTTTGTTACTTTTGGTTTTTTTCAGATGTTCTGTAATTACAAGCTTAGCTAAGGCCAGGGGTATTATCATGCTGCAAGGTATCATGAACTGTGTCAGTAGCCAGGTATTGCAAGTAATAGGAGTAGGTAGTTCTGCTCCCTGAAGATATCCGGATCTCTGTTTTCAATGTTTGCAACTCCCAGTGTTCAGGAAAACCTCTAGTTCTTTTCAGTAGGAATGTACATGCTTGCTCATAGGGTTGTTTTGAGCTTAGTTCATCCAACATCATATATTAAGATCTTGCATTTATTTTTGCATAGTGGCAGGTTGAGGTGAATTTCAGCACAGGTTTCTGATTAATACTATAATTTTTGGCATTAAGATTAAAGTTGAAATAGAGATATGTAGTCATATGCATCTATAGCCTATGTACATGCATGTGTGCATGTGTTGAAAGATAGCAGAGCTTTGCTTGAGAGACTGTCCAGTCTTTCACCTACATTAGTTAAGCCAGTGAAAAGTTTTAGCTTTCCATCCAAACCAGGCTTTGTTCTGCTTTTAAATGTATTAGTAGCTTTAATATTTCCACTCTGGGAGCTTGGATCATTGTACTATGATTCCAATTTGGATGGAGATAGGAAGAAGAGAAGCTAAATAAATTTAAAAGTACATTTTATTTTTTGTTGCAGCTGACAAAGTTACGTAATTTTAGCACTGGATGGAAGGCAGGAGGCAAATAGAGTGGTTTGTAGTTGACTGCATGACAACTGTGGTTTATTGCGTGGATATCATCCCGTCACACGCTCAGTGTCTAATTCTGATTGGATTCTCCTGGTGTGAAGAATCACACTTGCCATCAGTGGGATGTCCATCTGTCTGAGCCTGAAAGCAGCTCAAGGATGCAGGCTGTAGAGGAGGAGTCTGTGGGATGGCTTCACGATGCCTATGAAGTCTGATGCACATGAGTTATAAGCATCCAATCTGTTTTGAGGGATCCTTTCTTGCACTGCTATATGGTTATGAATGGAGATATTACTATTTAATTCCTCCATGGTGGCCACTGAGGGAGCTGGACACTCAGGCAGTTTACAGACATTGGGGGGTGGTGTTTCTGTGAGGCTTGCCAGGGTTAGGAGTTTAGGAGGTTATTCTACTCTAAGGTGATTTTAAGGACTCTCAAGAGCTTTCTGGTGTAACTGGAATCCGGTGAATGATTTTTTTTTTTTTTTGATTGCAGGTGTGTTAGGAGTGATGCCCATTCACTTGCTGTGCAGTGAGATTGTAAATCCCTCATAAATTGCTTGTAAATCACTTTGGGATCTTTTTGGCTGAGAGGCAGGTCCTGTGTAAGCACATCACCCAGCCCTGCAAAGCCCAAGCCTTAGGGAGCTAAACCGGCTGCCAAAGCAGCAGGTGTGTCAGCTCAAAGTTACCCGTGAGGAGCAGCTGTAGGCTCGAACTTTGCCCGTTTATTTGCCCAGGGTTTTATCTCATCCTTTATTATAGAGCACAGTGAAATGGAGTGTTTGCCATGGCAGTTAAAGCGGGGCTGTGCTGCGGCAGCTCCGTGTGCGCTCGGTGGCCTCGCGGCTGAGAGCGCGGAGCCATGGCTGGTGTCGGGGAAGGCCATGCTTCCTGTGCCATCGGGGGAGAGAGGGACACCTGAGCAAACAGTGCGACACCCCGGCCTCGGGGGTAGGGTCACTGCTTTGGTGCACACCACCGATTTGTGGTTTTTTAATTTTTTTTTTTTAATGTCTATAGCTTTTTTTTTATTGTTGTTCTGGGAGTAGATTTTGACATTAGAGCAAGGCAGGAGCACTCCAACAGAAAGCTAAAATTGCATTTTACTTTTAATTTTGCTTCAGGGTTGTGCAGGTGGACAGCAAAATTAATATCAGAACAGAAATTTCTTCTGAATCAAAGGCCAAATGGAAAGTGTAGCAGTACAGTGTGCTGCTGTGCTCAAGATTGTTATTCTGAAAAAAAAACCAAACTAAACCAACAATCCTTAACATTAAAAAAAACACCTGTGTAGCAATTGAAAAGGCTATTTTGATGTAACACTTTGATTTTAGCCACATTGCATGTATTGAGGGATATGTTTACTAACATTTGTTACCACTTCTGGTCTTCAGACCCCTGGCAGCAGATTTAGAGCCAGGCAATTATGAATAATTTTCTGCCTACTGCCTTATAAAGGAGGATAAAGTGGCATCAGTTTCTGGGACTCAGAGCTGTTTGCTGTTGGAGTTCAGGCATCCGTATCCCAGCACTGGCTGGGAATTAGACACGTGTAATGTAGAAGTGACAGGACCGAATATGCAGGAAGCCAGCTGGTTGCTCAGAAGCCTTGATCTCTACCTCAGCTTTCCTTGAGCAGTTCATTTGACTGCTCTGTGCCTCAGTTTCCCATCTTATCTGCCATGTAACTTACCTCTTTAGTTGTTAAACAATTTTAAATGGGACTGCCTTCCACTATCCAAAATAGCTGTTCTACTCAACACAATCTTAATAATAAATGTAAAAAGCTATGGTCTTCAGATAGTCAAAATAAATTTAGGAAGATTCTGGTTAATTTTTGATTTTTTAACTGTGTTACCAAGGATTGATCTTTGGACCTATATAACCAAACTTTTTCCTTGGTTGCTTTCTGTTATTCTGCCTTTCGAAGGACTTTGTGGAAAAGAAAGCAGTATAAAAATCACACAACCGGTTTGGCAGGTCCTGTATAAACAGGAGAAATGCCAGGAAAAGTCTTATGTCTTTGTTGCCAGCTTAAAAAAAACAGGTTAATTTTCTCCTAATGAAAACTTCAGCCACTGCTGTGTGTGAGGTGAACTGTGAGGATGGGCATGTGGTGGAAAGAGCTTAGGGTGCTTGCTGGAAGGAACATTCCCTCAAATGATGGGAATATTGTCTCAGTCACCTTCTTGGCTGTAGGAACAGAAGAAGCATTTTATCATGGTTCTTGTAAGCAGATTTGTTGTTTTTTTTTCCTTCCCCCATCTCCTCTGGCAGTCTCACAGCTCAGCTCTGGTGTTAAACACACCCTGCTTGATTAACTGGGGGTGATTGATGTCCCCCTATTTTCTTTGCTTGTACCAGGAGAGATCTGTGCTGGTATTTAAGATTGTGTAGCTGTGAGTTGGGATGGGTGAGGAAACCTGCCTTCCCAAATGGATCTGTGCCATTGCATAACCGTGGGAAGGGTTGGAGTGCCTCTGTCCTGATTCTTGTGGCAAAGGAGGGATGTGTTTTTGGAACGAGTTTGAAGCTCTCTTCTGATTTAGGCCATCTCTGCTGCCACTTGTGAGCTGAGAGAGTTCAGTCAATGAGCTGACAAGGAGGAGTGTTAGAAATCAGAAGTTCCCATGAGAAGGACGTTTAAAATCAATGCTAAAATGCAAAATGAAATTATGCATTCTGAGAGTTTTTACAAGCTGTCCATGTCATTTTACTTTTCCAGTAGTTCATCCTTCTGTTTCTAGAGCAGCAGCATAACCCCAGAAACATGACTGTGTGGGTAGAGGCTTGAAATGGGATTTAGGTAACTTTCTGCTTCTTCTGCACCTGTGTTCCTAACTGTAAAGTAGGATTCAAACAGTCCCTTCCTCTGGTGCTTCACTAACTTGACTACTTTGGCTTTGAGCTCATCAGGGCTGTCCTCTGCTCACTATTTCTGGAACACTTTGGGCAATGGTGTGGTGTTTATTTGCTTCTGAGTGCTGTCACTGTATAAATGTCAAGTCCTAACTTGGGGTTCACAGCCAAATAGAGTTCTTGGGAGAACATACTGTTTTCTAAGGTGTCAAAGTAGGTTTTTCCTCAGCCTCCGTACTCTGAATGGGTACTTAATCTGCTTATGTTTTGGTCCCTTCACTTGCAAAGGTGAGTGTAATAACACTTCTCTTAATTGCAAGAAAGTGCTAAAGGTATTATAGAACATATTTAAATAATGTAGTAATAAGGACCGTGAAGAAGCCTTCAGATTGAGTTAAAATGGGCACTTTGCTCTCTTTTTTAAATATGCCTGAAGTTTACTCTATTTCAGCTGGCTCAGTTCCCAAGCTTCTCACTTCTGTAGTGAGGCAATATTTGCAGGTCAGAGGCAGTCCTATGGTAAGGGTGGAGTGGCTCTCACTGCAGCGTCCATTCAGATGTGAACCAGCAATACTCAGTTGTGAAAACAAGCCAAAGATAACCAGAGTGAAACTTCAACACTTCTGTTCTGCCAGGAACAACATCATAACCAATGCTTCAGGATTATGAGGTAAAACAAAATAATAATTTGAGGAAGAACAAAAAGCGATGCAGAGGTTGAAAGGAACAATTAAAACAGTTGGGGAACTTAACCAACAGGAAAAGCTATGGCAGAAGGAAAGCAGCTAAACTGAGATTTGTCACAGGGCTTGACACACCTGTGGCCCTCAGCATTTATCCCACTGTCGTCTTGGCACAACCAAGGCAGTGAGGGCTGTGGTAGTGGCACAAGTTGTTTTGGAGATCACAGCAGGTCTGGGAACAGGCAGACATGTGTCCTCACCATTTCTCTTCTGTGGAGCTTGTTCTGTCCTCTGCTCTGCTGTCTGACATCTGCTGCCCAGCCCTGTACAGCATCCTTATACACGAGGTGATCCACTTCTTATTCCTTTTCTGAGTGCTGGGAGTGCCCCTGGAATTTCCAGAGTGAAGGAATAAGGTCTGTGTGGGGTGTACCCTGTCACATGGACAGGTCATACCTGGAAGGCATCTCTTGTTTTCAGAGCAGTTGGGAAAGGATTGCTAATAGCTCTCCTTACGCAACAGAATATTCACCCACTTAGTTCATTACTTATTAGCTCCAGGCAGGGACATGGCAGATTTGTTAATAGCAATGGTCAAATCCTTAGGGTGTGCAGCAGTAATGGAGGAGAAAGCATTTAATAAAGAGCCATCACTTGACCCTGTCATTGTCCATGGAATATGGACCATATTGTTGAATTCTTTTCCTGTCATCTACCACTTCTTAAAAGTACGTCTTGCTCAGGAGCTTCAGCTTCTCTTTGAACACATATGAAAGCACATCTATTCTTCTTTTGGATCAGATATGTAGTACCATGACCAGCTATTTCTGTACAAATATATTTGAAAACTCCCCTAAGTTCTGCCAATCCTGATGGTCCTGTGCTGGAAGGACCATGTTTTATAGGAAATAAAAGATTTTACTGTGCCTCAAGCTATCCCCCAGGTGGTTTATTATCTTTTTCTAAGTAGTATTTTGGTGTCTGATGATCAGTAAAAAGTTTGGTTTCTTCTATTTTGCATTCTCATACCATTAGACTGCTGACTGGAGAGACCTTACAAAAGCTGCTAAACAGCTTGCTTAAAAAAAAAAAATCCAATTTTTGTACAGGCTGACCTGCTGCCGATTTTTTCTTTTTGTGGAACTCAGCTTCTTTTAGTGGTCTCCCAATGCATCTCTGTGGTTTAATCACAGCTTCTTACTAGCTTATCCTTCTGCAATATGTCTTCCAGATTACCTTCTCTTCCCTCTGTTTTTATTTCCTTTTGGATGTTGGGCTGTATCTGTCCTTTCTTCTGTCCATCTCAGTAGTTCCTTTATTCCTTTCTTATAAGCTACATAATTTGACTCTTGTAAAACTTGCCTGTCTTGCATACATAAGAGATGTGTGTGTATGATGCAGAATGAAGAGCCTG